CCAGCTTTTTTTAGTTTTTTAAAAATTATAAATGCAGTGCATACTTGCAAAATTATAATCAAACCTTATAAAAATAAAATAACAATAGTTCCTAATTTCAACACTCAATAATGAATACCATTAAAATGTCAGATTTATTTTCACACATACAGTTTACTGTATGTAACTGTACAAAGAGCAAGGGCTATGTGGGGATGGCCATATCTGACATTTGCCAACTACACAAAGGGGAACTGTCTTTATCAACAACACAAAATCAATTCCCATAAGTTCAGATATGTCTCCCACGTTCTCACACCTCTTTCTATTCACCCCAACACCAATATTACTGCTTTACTGGGTCCAAAATTAGATGTAATAGTGCACAGACCATGTAGAACCATAGGTGTTATTGTTGTTGTTGATTGCCATCATGTCATTTCTCCAAGTTCATAGAGTTTTCAGAGGCATATGGTTTAGAAAGTGAATGCCACTCCTTTTTCCAAACCTGTCGTAAACTAGGAGCTCCACCAAACACTATCTACCATGGGCAGCCACTATGGAATTTGACCCCCCAATGGCATAAGGTTCAGCATCACAGGAAACCCAGATAACCTCAGTGCAACAAATTGACAAAAGAGTGCTGTACCACTTAGAAGAATGTTCCTCCAAAATAAAATAACACTAGACCCTTGGGCCCAACCGATTCAAGGGAGATATGTATATATCACAGCATAGCATAGCATAGCATAGCATAGCATAGCATAGCATAGCATAGCATATCTATCTAGCTATATCTAATCTATATCTATATCATATCTATATACCTATAGTTATATCTATCTATCTATCTATCTATCTATCTATCTATCTATCTATCTGACACTGATGTGTCAAATGCATTAATGGTTACTCATGGCAGACTGTGTTTGGTGGAGCTCCTCTATTAAAACAAGCTTGGAAGCAGGAGTGGCATCCACTTCCAAAATAGCTTGCCTCCAGTAACCCTATGAACCTGGAGAAAGGACGAAAGTCACACACATGTTGAGGACTTTCATTCATAAGGTGGCTATGAGTTGCCTACGACTCGACGGCACTTAACAACCGAGAGAGAGAGAGAGAGAGTGTTTCCAGAGGCATGTGGTTTAGGAAGTGGATGCCAGTCCTGCTTCCAAACCTGAATCAATCTGGGGGCTCCACCAACACTGCCCATGAGGGGTAGCCATTATGGTGTTTGACACAATTATGGCACAATTGTTCTATTATGGAATTTGAGACCCCAATGGCACAAGGTTCAGTGTCACAGCAAACCCAGATTACCTCAGCACAGTAAACTGACCAGAGTGCTGCATAACTTAGAAGAATGTTCCTCCAAACTATTGTAACAAGGGATTAAACTATAATCCCTTGGGCCCAACTTTTAAATATAAGGGCCCTCCTGGATGTTTTGTTGACTCTAAACAAGAGGGTTAAATAAAAAACAACCATACAATCTACACAGATCCTCAACCAAAACAAGAGCACCGTGTTACAGAGTCCAGCTGCTTCACTCAACTCCAAAATGGAGACAAGGGCCTGGCGATAAATGTTGTTGTTGTTAAGTGTCATTGTGTAGCAACCCTATAAACAAAAACCTTTAACCCTGTTCTATAACTACTGTCCTTTCACTAAGTTCATAGATTTTCCATGGGCATGTTTAGGAAGTTGACACCACTCCTGCTTCCAAGCCTGTCTTAATCAGTGAGCTCTATCAAACATTGTCAACCAAGTGTAAAAATTTGACATTTAGGGAAGTAAAAAGGCTATAATTCAGGTTAGTAACAGAATACAGTCAGGACAGCTTCTGAAATGTGCTTGCTGGCACTTCAGGCTTGAGCTTCATGGCTTTAGGTCAGTGTTAGAAAACTCTCAGTGCTGTAATTTATGGCTTACATACTCCCTCCCCCTAGACCTCAAAGAAACTTGGGCAAAAGACTTTTAGCTCTGGTTCGGTGGCATAGCAGTCCCAAGGTCCACTATATCACATGTCAGGTCTCTGGTTCTCCACTGTGGTTGCTATGGCTGCTGCTCCTATATTTTCTTGCTGCTCCTTTGCTGGTGGGAAATTTGCTTGTGGAGTGGTGAGACTACCTAATCCCTTTGTGCGTAGGGTAGCATATTCTTACACATCCACATCACAAAGTCGGGCAATGGCTAGGGAAGTAATTTTGAACAATAAACTCTTAACCCCACAATAACTTTATGTAATTTAGATCATTATTTTATATGCCTATTTGCTACTAACACTTCTTTTTGTGATAGGCATGCTTTTGTGTCCTTCTTCCTCTTATTTTTTGGTAAATTAAACAAATTATCCAAAATTTTATTTTGAAAGAATACATTTTATTATATTTTTAATATTAAATTATATATTTATAAACTTTAAATTACAGAAATTTATAAAGTAGAAGATGAAAATAGCTTAGGATCTTCCCATAAATACTTATTTCATGCATGCATTTAAATATTCTTTAGATGTTTTTAAAAATATAATGGATATTGTTGTTGTTGTTGATTGTTGTCAAGTTGAGGTCAACTCATAGCAACTCTATGAACAAAAGACCTAATGCCTTTCCGTAGCTATCATTGTTTCTCCAAGTTCATAGAGTTTCCAGAGACATGTGGTTTAGGAAGTGGATGCCACTCCTGCTTCCTAACCTGTTTTACAACTGGAAGCTCCACCAATCACTGTCCACAGTGGGAAACCATTATGGTATATGATATTCCCATAGCACAAGGCTCAGCTTCACAGCACACCCAGATTACTTCATACAGCACATTGACAAAGTGATGTGCAAAGTGGAAGAATGTTCCTCTAGATATAATCACTTGTTATGCATCAGAGAGTTGGACAATGACCAAGGAGGATAGAAGGAGAATTGATGCCCTTGAGCTCTGGTGCTGGAGAAGAGTATTGAGAATACCATGGACTGCTAGGAAAACAAACAGATTTGTCCTGGAAAGGGTTAAACCAGGTGGCTCCTTGGAGGCAAAGATTCTGAGGCTCCTTCTAACATACTTTGGACATGTTGTGAGGAGAGACCAGTCCTTGGAGAAGGACATCATGCTTGGGAGGGTGGAGGGACAACGCAGGAGGGGAAGGTCCTCTATGAGGTGGATTGATTCAGTGACTGGGGTAATCGGGATGGGAGTGTCAGAGACAGTGCGACTGGCACAGGACAGAGCAGAGTTTAGGGTTGTTGTACATAGGGTCGCTATGAGTCGCAAGCGACTTGACGGCACATAACAACAACAGTCTCATTTAGCAGTGGTTAAGTGTTGTCAAGTCAAATACGACTTAGATTAAGCTTTGCACAAATGAGCTAAACTCTGTTCTATAATTAACATCATTTCTATACATATATAAGAGAGTTTGTAGAGTTTCCAGAGCCATCTAGTTTAGGAAGAGGAAGCCACTCTTGCTTCCCAACAGGAATCAATCTGGTAGCTCATCCAAGCATTGTATGTAATCAGTAACCATTATGGTATTTGACAAGACTATGCAACAGTGTTTAGCATCACAGCATTCTAAGTTGTTCAGTACAGCAAAGAGCTGTGTCTTTTAAAGAATATTAATTCTAAAATTAATTAATTGACTGCCATCAAGATGAGACCACCATCGAGATGCTAACCAGCCAGCCAACTCCCAAAGTGGAGGGAGACTCCAAGGCCTCAGGCCCCAGGCCAGCCCACAGAGCCATTGCCTCATTTTCAGTTTTAAAGCCAAACCATCAAGCCCTTAGTCTAAGGCTCAAGGGTCACCCATTTTTGAGAGGGAAAAAGAACATTAACACACAACAAACACGGCCCCAGAAACTTCCCTTACATGACTATGGTCAAGACAAGGTGGCCATCGAGAAGCTAGCCAGCCAGCCTACTTCCAAAGTAGATTTTATAATATCGGTATATTTAATCAGTCCTACATAATAAGATGGGAATATTTTCAAATAATAATTTTATACATATATATTTTTGTATTTTATCTGGTTACTTTCTTAGTCAAAGTTACCAGATGAAGCATTTCTAAACGAAGGTAGATATATTTAAAATGTGGATTTGTAGAAGGAGTACGAAGATCTAAGGAGGGGAGGAGGGAGTAGAGGAGTGAGGATGAATCATAGGGTAACAAAATTTGAAGGGTGGAGGGAGGGGTGGGTAAAGGAAAGGGGAAAGATCTGATGTGAAAAACAATGTGTACAAACTTTGTAAGTAAACCAGCATAAAATGGAAAAAATATAAAAAGAACTAACTAAAATATCAATCAGATTTTCAAATAACTATAAATAGATTATTACAATTCATGGCATGTAATTGAATTTTCTCACTTGTTTGCCAATGTTAAGATTTATCTTTTTTGTTTTAGCCTTTGCCAAAGAAGCCCAAAATGGAATTTTATTGTTTCATGTTAGTTTCATTGATTGCTAGTAAGGTCCGTCATTCTTTCATGTTCCTATTGACCATCTACACATTTTTTGTAAAAAGCATGCTCTTATCCAGTCTTTGTCCCTTCCTTCCTCTTTCCCTTTTTTGTCATATATCTTTACTAATTGTTTGGGGGTTTGTTGCCTTTGGCATAGGACCTGTTCAAAGCAGGCTTTTAATCTTTTTATTGCCTTTTCTATTAGTCCTCTAATGTCCTTTACAGAGGATTATTTCCTTCCTTTACCCCTTCCCTACCACCCTGCCACTAATCTCTTCCCTATTTCTCTTTCTCTTCCCCTCCACTTTTCTCTCTAAGGCCCACCCTCGGTTTCCATACCTAAGTTTTAAATTCTGACCAATTCATATCTATCAATCTGGGCCTGGTACCCTAAACATGCAGTCAGGGAGGCGGGCTTTGGGCTGGGGGAGGGGAATGGGCGGGGAGGAGCGAGAGGAATGTGAGGAGCGGCTTGCAGGAGTTGCTGGGAGTGCGCACGGTTCAATCGCAAGGCAGCTGCAGAGGCTCGGAGCTTTAAGCGGCTACTTCTACGCTCGTGGCCTACACCAGGTCTCACAACACCAGAGGACCGAGGGACCCCAGCCTTCATCTCAGAGGTACTGTGCTAAACTCTCTACACTCGGCAGGCCCAGCCTGCTGTGGCGGTGCCTCCTTCCTCCTTCCCTCCTCTCTGCTCACCCGCCCGCGCCTTCCTTGTCTGCCTGCGTCACAGCGGCCGCCATGGCTGAGAATGGCGAGAGCAGTGGCCCCTCGCGCCCCTCCCGCGGCCCCGGTGCGGCCCCAGATTCGGCCACTGCCCAGGCTGAACCCAAAATCATCAAAGTCACTGTGAAGACCCCTAAAGAGAAAGAGGAGTTCGCGGTCCCCGAGAATAGCTCGGTCCAGCAGTTTAAGGAGGCGATTTCGAAACGCTTCAAATCCCAAACCGATCAACTAGTGCTGATTTTTGCCGGAAAAATTCTAAAAGATCAAGATACCTTGATCCAGCACGGCATCCATGATGGACTGACTGTTCATCTTGTCATCAAAAGCCAGAACCGACCTCAGGGCCAGTCCACGCAGCCTAGCAATGCCGCGGGAACGAATACTGACACAGCATCGACTCCCAGGAGTAACTCCACACCGATTTCCACAAATAGCAACCCATTTGGGTTGGGAAGCCTGGGACAGCTTGGAAGCCTTAGCAGCCTGGGCTTCAGCTCAACCAATTTCTCTGAGCTCCAGAGCCAGATGCAGCAGCAGCTCATGTCCAGCCCGGAGATGATGATCCAAATCATGGAAAATCCCTTTGTTCAGAGCATGCTCTCGAATCCAGATCTGATGAGGCAACTCATTATGGCAAACCCACAGATGCAACAGTTGATTCAGAGAAACCCAGAAATTAGTCACCTGCTTAACAACCCAGACATAATGAGACAGACCCTTGAAATTGCCAGGAATCCAGCCATGATGCAAGAAATGATGAGAAATCAAGACTTGGCCCTGAGCAATCTCGAAAGCATTCCAGGTGGCTACAATGCACTAAGGCGCATGTACACTGACATTCAAGAGCCAATGCTGAATGCTGCACAAGAGCAGTTTGGTGGTAATCCTTTTGCCTCTGTTGGGAGCAGTTCCTCCTCTGGGGAAGGTACGCAGCCTTCACGTACAGAAAATCGAGATCCACTGCCCAATCCATGGGCACCACCACAGGCTACTCAGAGCTCTGGGACTGCCAATACATCCACGAGCGGTGGAAGTGGATCTGGAAGTAATTCCAGCAATTCTACTGGGAACACTGTGGCTGCAGCCAATTATGTTGCCAGCATCTTTAGTACCCCAGGAATGCAGAGCCTTCTGCAACAAATAACTGAAAACCCCCAGCTGATCCAGAATATGCTGTCTGCACCCTATATGAGAAACATGATGCAGTCCCTGAACCAGAATCCAGATCTGGCAGCACAGATGATGCTGAATAACCCACTGTTTGCTGCAAATCCTCAACTGCAGGAGCAGATGCGTCCACAACTTCCGGCTTTCCTGCAGCAGATGCAGAATTCAGACACGTTATCAGCCATATCTAACCCGAGAGCAATGCAAGCTTTAATGCAGATCCAGCAGGGGCTGCAGACATTAGCCACAGAAGCACCTGGCCTCATTCCAAGCTTCACTCCAGGTGTGGGGGTGGGAGTCCTGGGAACCACTATAGGCCCAGTCACTCCAATAGGCCCTATAATCCCATTTACTCCCATAGGTTCCATTGGGCCCATAGGACCCACTGTCCCTGCAGGTCCCCCTGTCCCTAGTGGCTCTGGTGGCCCCACAGGCTCTGGTGGTTCATCTGGCTCTACTGTGTCTAGCTCTACACCCAGTGAAACTACCAGTCCAACATCAGAATCAGGACCCAACCAACAGTTCATTCAGCAAATGGTGCAGGCTCTGGTTGGAGCAAATCCCCCACAGCTGCCGAATCCAGAAATTAGATTTCAACAACAACTGGAACAGCTCAATGCAATGGGGTTTTTAAACCGTGAAGCAAACTTGCAGGCTCTTATAGCAACAGGAGGTGACATAAATGCAGCTATTGAGAGGCTTCTGGGCTCACAGCCATCATAATCACATTTCTTTACCTTGAAAAAAAAATGTATCTTATTTTTGATAATGGCTTTTAAATCTTTAAATGCATACATATACCCTTGCTTTATTTTCATTTTTAAAAATCTGTCTAATTATACATCTAATGTGATACATTTTAAGATGGAGTCCTCTCCCATTTACTTTCCTTCCCTTTCCTCTCTGTTGTGAATGGTGAGAATCAAAACTGTTTCTTTGACTCAGAAGTGCTGCATGTAAAACACTTTGCTGTATTCTGCATTTATTGTGATTTTTGGAAAGTGGTATCAACTTTCTCACTTGGGTAAATAAGTTTTTGCCCAGTTTGTTTGCATTTTAATAATTAGCATAGGTTAAGAACTTAATGTACAATGAAGATACATTAGAAGCAGATTATTTGAAGCTCTAATTTGTAGTAATATATTACCTATTGTGAGTTTGGCATGTACTTTTTCAGCAAAATGTTGTAAGATTTATACCATTTACTAACTTTTTTTGGCTATATTTGTACACAATTGGAATTGTGCATCTTTTAGAAATATTAGAACAAATGAAGCAGAATAAGTGTGACACAAAAAATAAGTATTTCTCCCAGTTTCATGGAATCTTACAGCATCATTGATATATTTCTCAGTGAATATGTTGGCTAGGCAAGTTCAGTTAAAATATAATTGAAATGTTTATTCTTGTTATTTCTGTCTATATTTAATTGTACAGAAAACGTACAGTGTAGCATTGTGTCAGCCTTCACAGATTGACTAGTATGACCTTAATCTTTGTGCAACCTGAAAGGATCAGTGTAGTAATAATCAGGAAAGTCCTTTTTACCTAAGGCTTTCTTCTTAATGACTCTCATAAAACCCACTTCCGTAAAGAGACCCTAATGTACATTTTGATTTGTTACTGAAATGTAACTTTTGCTAATAGTGTATGTGATGTTTGAATTGTTTTTAACTGCTATGTATAAAAAATGGTATCTTTTGATTTTATCAGTTATATCTCTTGTATACAGGGAAAAATGCACTAAAATGAATAAAAAATAAAAATAATTAAAAATAGATTATTCTTTTCCTTTTTGCCTTCTGATTTAGGACCACCTTTTGAAGGATTGCCTCACTTCAAAATTGTGTAAATCTTATGCTGTATTTCTTTCTCTGACTTGTGATTTTATTATAAGACTTTCCCCCCTAATCTGGAATGATTTTAATGTATCAAAACAAGTATGTCATTGTTGAGCCAATTCTAACTCATTGTGACCCTATGGGATAGAGTAGAATTACCTCATAGGGCTTCCAAGGATATAGTCTTTACAGAAACAGACTGTCACAGTTTTCTTTGTGGAGCAACTGATGGGTTCCAACTGCCCAATTTTCAGTTAGCAGCCATTCTTTTTTTTTTTTAATTTTTTAAATTTTTTTTAGCAGACATTCTTAACCACCATGGCAAGGCTCCTGATGTATAGACTTAGGTATTCTAAGTTTTCCTCCAAACAATTGACTTGCTAGCCAGTAGTTCATCTCCCTCCACTGGAGTTTTTATTTATATATCAATATATGAGTTCTGTAAGAAGTTGTGCTGCCAACCCAAAGACAGATGATTTAAATCCACTACCTGCTCCAAGGGAGAAAGATGGGCAGTCTCCTTTCATGCAACATACTGCTTATGAAAACCAGGGGGAGCTCTGATTTGATTCCAACTTGACCATACATAACAACAGTATATATACCCATAAACTTCATTCTGTGTATTTTCTGAACTTTGCACTGTAATCTGTAGTTATATCAGAAATATGACTTCATATCTTAAAGCGAGCCCATTTATTGATTTTTTTCCATAATTTCCTGCTGATCTTGATATGCTTCTTTTAGCAGATGAACTTCACTGTTAATCAATACCATCCCAAAAAAGAAATTGGAAATTTGGTAGAGATTGCTTCAAATTGATACAATAGTGAGAGCTATAGAATTACGTTTTTTCTAGAAACAATATGTTTCTTCCTTTTAAAACTTTGTATATCCTGGGCTTTGGTGGCCTAGCGACAAGAAGCTGCACTGCAATACCAGAGGTACATGGTTTGCATCCACCAGATGTTCTGCTGAAGAAGGAGGGGCAATCTCCTGTACCAGTCAGATCTGATTTGACAGTACACACACAAAAACTTTGTATATCCCTCAAATAATTTCATACATAGATAGAATTTATTAAAATTTTAATCTCAAAAGTATTTCGTTGATCCTTTTCAATTTTCTTAGCTGGGAATCATACCATAGATAAGTTATGCTTCTTGCAAAATTTATAACATAGTTTCTGATTACATGGAGCTCCTGGGATACTTTCAGAACAGTGTTAAAGAGTAAAGATGTCAGCTATATCCATGTCTTGTTTTTCATTTTAACCAGAGTATGTTTGCTCCAGTGGTTCTGAACTGTGTTTTCTTAAACATTCTTCTGAGATATGGTCAATAAGTAAGTTTGTAAAATGCCATATAGTTTCTTTGAGATTTATTGTACAACAATTTTTTTAGTAAGTTCTTAAGATTAGAATAAAAAAGATCCTTTTCAATTCAGCATTTTTAAATTTTCCAAACATTTCTTGTGTGCCATCGAGTTGTAACTGACCAATAGCTGACCCTCCAATGGGCTTTCAGAGACAGTAAATCTCACAGGAGGAGATTGATTGTCCATTCTCCTGCAAAGTTACAGGTGGATTTGAACCAAGTGGCTTTGGGATTGTAGCATAGCTTCTTACCACTCTGCCACCAAAGTTCCTTGAGTAAATATTTTAATTTCCCAAACTTACTTGAGTAAAAAAAACCCCCTGTTTCCTCCCCAACCCACCTTTTAAACATTCCTTGTAACATTTAGTCTACCACTATACCTCAGAAAATCAATTTCGCAAATGGTGATTGATTAGTTCACTGCTCTGTAATGCTGGATATTTGAGATAATCACAAAGATAAAGTCTGCCATAATTCATCTAAAATTTTAATGATATTTTTATTACATAAGAAGAAAGCTAAGAACAATCAGACTCATAAAGAGTAAGTCAAGAACCACAGGAGAAACTGGATATTGTCTGAGGCCTCGCCCACATGGTTTAGCAGGTAAATGAATTTCAAACATTCAAAGATTAGAAATCTTAATTGGCTTAATTGTGTTAATCTGGATTGCCTCAAAAAAGTCTAAGTTTTTAATTATTTGCTTCCATTCCCCCCCCACTTATTAATTTGTTAACTTTATTCATTTTGGCCTCTTTTTATTGCTTTTAGCTATAATTTTCTCCTATTACCTTGCAGGCTTTTTTCCCAGTGGGGTTTTTTTTTTAGGGGATAAGCGTGAGGTGGCATTCTTCACTTACTATTTATCCATGATTTATCTATTTATTCATCATCAAGTCAAGAAAGGTGTCTATGGCCTGCTGCTTATTCTCCCCAAGTGAGTAAAGGTGATTCTCATATTCTCTCACTGTTTTCTTGATTGTGATTCCCTCCCTAGACTTACACTGGATGGTTGGATGGTGTAATTTTTTATTGCTAGCAGGATGAGGTAGTAGTAGGGAGAGAGCTATGACCAAAACCAATTCCAGTAGAAAGACTTCAGATATAGACAACTTTCCACATTTGCTCCTTTGGCTTCCACTCAAGTAGTGTGTGTGTGTGTGTGTGTGGTTGGTGCAGATGAGGGTGATAGAAGAATTAAAACAAAGCCTTATTACTTTAGGTCGAGACATCTATGTCACCTGATAAAGCACTTGAAGAGACACCTCAATTGGATATGGCTGAGTTTGCCTTGTTAGGAGGCATCCTGCACTTGATTTGCAGTTTTAAGTTAGCAACAACATGTGGAATGATTTCCTGTCAAGACTTAGTCTGACTGGGGTTAGGGTGCCAGGAAAGCCATTTTGCCTGGGTCTTGCATTCACAAAGGGACTCAAAATACTTTTGGTATTATGTCCAAATGTGTTGGTAACTCCAGCCACAGAACTTGACTGACCTGATGGAAAGACAGCTATATAATATAAAAAATTTTCATGGTTTTAATTTTGATGATTAATTGATAATTATATTACATCAAAAAGAAATGGTAGAGAAGTTCTCATTCTAGTTTTCTGCTGCCTGCCCTGACCTCTAGTTATTGCTTTTTATTTTTTTTTTCAGTCCTTACTCTTTTAAACTACCTATTATTGGGACATTTCTGCTGAGATTTTTCTCAAGTTATCTTAGAGCTTTCTTGGGAAAGGTAAATGGTGACATTCTGAAGCACCATGCCATATAGAAATCCTTTGAGCCATTTTCTGCTCTCATTGCTTGTTGACGTTTCCCCCAATTTTTGTTTTCCTAGGAAAACAGATTTATTTGTAGAAGGGAGGGTAAGACTTGTGGGGGGCTATTATACTATCATCTTTATATAGATCTTTTAGGAAATTCAGAAAAAGCAGTTTAAAAAAAATAACTCATTGACAGATTGGTTCCTATTGATAGTGACCTTGGGAGCAGTGACTACCCATTTTTTTCCGTCAGTGACACTGGTTTATTTGAACTGCTGGTGAGGCAAGACCTTTGGTTGAGCAGCGCAACTCCCTATGGACTAAGTAACCAGATAGATATATATATAATATAGCAGCTCTGTATTGAGTTAGCCGAATACAGATCTGGGCTCTCAAGGATTGCACTTTCAAGATCCAACTTTAGAACTTTTTGACTTTTAGAACTTTGATTAGAAAATTTAGCAATTTTAGGAAAGATTCTATAATTCATTATTAAATTGATAGATGATAAACAGAAAAAAAGAGATTTCACTAGACTGCCTTGTCAGACTAAGTACATTTTTTAGTTGCATTGGATTAACGATAATAATTTACATTTATTTATTCTAATATTCAGTTGTTTTTATGAAAGCCATTTAAGATAATGTGTTTACAGAGGGAATAGGTTAAAAGAGGTTAAACAACTAGCACAGTCTTGAGATTTCTGTATGTATCCTTCTTTCTATATTGCCTCTTTATGAGTCTATAAAACTAATCTGGTTTACTATTTTATCATAAAGATTTTATAATAAATTACATTAATTTATAATAATAAGTTAGCTGGCCTTTAAGGGTAGTTCATAGGACACATTAAAAATACCCATTGCAGTCAAGACAATTCAGATTCTCAGTGACCCTATTGAACCGT